ATCCGATGTTAAATAAAGAAGTGAACCTGAATTTGATGGATTTACTATTTCTTTAAGTTCACCATTACATATATGTGACTTTAATGTGTGTGAATCAATACCATAAATATTCATTAAAGCATAAAATATATCAAGTCCATATGCTTCAATATCAAAATCTGGTAAAGAATGTGGTGGTGTCACATTACTACCAGAAGCTGGAAACTTTTCTCGTTGAACATATTCAGATGGTTTTTCAGATTGATGTTCAAGAAAATGACCAATGCCTATTATAGTATATATCAGTTAGAAGAACAAATAGAACTTCATTTATTAAATAAATTTACTTAGAATATTCTATCTCTATATAATTTATCTACACTGTTAACTTTTCTTAGATAAATGAAATTTACATACCGATTTGAAGTGCATGTCGAATATGTTCACTTTGTACAACACCAGATGAAATTAATGTTTGTAAAAGTTTTTGTTTAGCAAGTGTCCCTGTTGTATCAGTCATTGATGAAAGATGTCCATGAACAGTTGACACTATTTCACTAGTTTTCTCTTTAACAAAATTCAACAATTTTTCAGCCATTTAATATCGTTCACACTGATTAGTAAGTAGTTGTCTCGAAGTAAATATGAGATTTATTTTCTAGAATACTTATGAATTTATTGATGATAGTAGCACTTATTTTTCTTTTCTACTAATAAAAAACAAGATCTGCTGCTACTGGTATTATATTTATCGATGATTCATATAGAATCTATTATTGACTGGTTATTATTGAGAAATAGGTACATTGGTTGTTTTTTGTAACTTTATAAGAAATAAATAAAAACTAGATGATCGAATTACTTCATTGTTCGGAGAAACATCAAAAAGTGAAAAATGTAAACTTTTCGATTTTTAAAGAGCTGTAGAAAAAAGAACAAAGAACATCATCAAGTCCATCTTTCCATGTGAGATAATTAACGAGTGAAAGAGTGCAAGCCTGCTACAGTTCACTGCGTGTGTCTGTTAATCAAAAAAAAAAAAAGGTCTTCAGTTATAATTTTTTCTCATAATTTTTTTTCTTTCCTTATTACACTATAGACGTTAGTTCTGAAGTGTAAAAGAACACGTTAATCATGGAGGCATTGCCTAGCTAACGAATAATGTCATGGCTACTATTGCTTGTACGAAGAAAAAGACAAATCAAAACTAAAGTAACTAAGAGATGAGTGGTAGTGATGCTGCTCGATTTTTTGATACGTCTGGTTGTTTAAATTTAACACGACCAACAACTGGTACACCGTTATTTCAATCAAATAATCGTCGTAATGAGCGTAAACGACCAATTAGTAGTTCAATACCAATACGAGGTCAATTAAAAATTGATTTATATAATTTTGATCATATCGATTTTGCTGAGTCAAAATATGTATTAACAAGTCCACGTTCACTTGAAGCTTGTGCTCGTCTTAATATCAAGGTATATTAAAAAAAAACTATGCTGCGAAATATGGTTTTTCGATCTATTTAGCCTGTTACATTACTTCCAAAACGATTGGCTGATGTACAAGATGATATTGGTTCAGAGAAAGTTCGACTTTCAACATTAGCTGATGTTCGAGATCAAATGGAAGTAGATCGACTAGGTTTTCAAAAAAATTATTATATATACATTTAAGATTAGAAATAAATATTTATTCTAGCAAATCTACAACGTTGTCGAGAAGAACGTGAGAAAATTATTCGAGAAGAAGCTCTTGATAATCCATCATCAACAAAAGTGAATGATCCTCGTAAGAGTTATTTTATTTTTGAAGAAATGAGTCTACAATTTTTTTTTCAAAAGAACCATCTACTGTCAGTAACAGCTCAATACCTCGACGGTAACATATGAAAAAGAATTCAATCTCATATGTAAAACTTTATTTATAGAACTTATGTAGAAACAAAATTCAATCCATCTGATTCTCTTCTTCATGGTCTTGATCAACCAACTACAATCAACAGTATTCCAACACGTTCTCACTCAGCTACAGCTGTCAAATTCTCTGAACATGATACAAATGCTCATCTTCCACCAAGATCAACATCTACTTCTCGTACACCAATAGCAAATTCAATTCTTAAATCGTCTATTTCTCAATGGCCACCAACATCATCATATTATCATGCTGATAATCGTGATGATCAATATGAACAACGAGTACCATCATCAGCTCACGTTACTGACGATGTTCGAAGACTGGTCAGTTAACTATTTATACAAAAAAATGCTGAAAAAATAAATAAATATCTATTTCAGAATAAAAATCTTCAACGTATGAGTACATCTGATCATGGTTCAAAACAAAACAAAAATGAACGATATGTGTAAGAAATAATTATTGTCTTCTTTAAACTCAATGTCAAAAAGCAATTCTATTTAGAAATGGTCTTGAAAATGTTAAACAAATGATAGAACGACGCATAACACATTCAACATCAGGAAATGATTCAGATACTGCAACATTTGAAAAGAAACAATATGAAATTTTACTTGGACAGTATGTAGAATCTGATTATATATGAAGACAAAAAAGTTCCTCTATAATGGTTTTTTTTTAAATTTCTTTTTTTAAGCTATGACCATGAATTAAAAATTCAAAAAGCAAAAGAAAATGCACTTAGAACAAAAAAAGAAAAAGAAATCGAACGTTATGAATTATTATTACATGATTTTCTAGTGAGTAATTACAATGGTTCCCAAATACTATTCATCTAGGTTTATTTTAAATTTTTTTTCACTGTCGTAACCACTAATAAGAATCCAACTACTGAATTGTGTAGAAATTTTTATTTTCAAAAGATAAAAACAATTGCTAGCTTTCGAACAATAGTGTCTCTGAAAAATGCAAAATGAAATTTTACAGCAATCATTCTCATTTTCAAAAATAAAATGCTCTATACAAATCACTATTCGGATTTTTACTAGTAGTAACGATAGTGAAAAAGAAATTGAAAATAAACTTATCTGAATAATTTTGGGAACCAATATATATCAGTCATAACGTTTTAAATCTTTTCAAAACATTGACTTTATCTATATAGGATCAATCAAGGGCTGATGAACGTCGAGAAAATGAAGTTCGTCGTAAAATTAATAAACTTCATCATACACGACAACTATATGAAACATTACAAGCAAAAAATTATGAACAGTACGTTAAGAAATTATTTTCTACTTCGTTATCTTTTTTTTTTTTTTATAAATGATTTTAATAGACAATTACAAGATTTACAAAGACAACGTGCAGAATTACGACATAAAATAAATAGAAAAGATCAACGAACAAAACATTTTATTAAAGATAAAGAAGAGACTACTAATTTAGTATGAAGTTTTATTCTTAAGTTCTATTGTAAACAATTTTTTCTTGAATTATAGTCTCGATCATTGGCGAAATCTTCACAAGATCTTCGAGAACTTTTACGAGAAACAAATGAAAATTTTGCTGAAAGAGCCAAAAAAGCTGAGTTAACAAGTACTGTTTTAGATAAAAAGACAACAATGCCTGTTAATCGACGTCATTTCCAATCGTCACTTCGAACATGAAAAATTTTTGTTTTACTTTGTTTTTTTTTCTTGTTTTTCGAGTGTTTGTTTGCACGCATAAAACAGTATGCATAATCAAAAAAGTGATTTTTCTTCTTCTATCTGTTTTACTAAAAGACAGGTTTTTTCTCTACGTTTGTTCTTTTTTTTTGGTAATAGCAATTTATGCTCTAAACTGATCTTTATACGGCTAGTATGTCAATGTGTTTTTCTTTTCACTTGTTGAATTATTTCGTTTGTTTGTTTGTTTGTTTCCTTGATCTATTTTAATGTATGTAGTTCATTTGTGTGTTTAACATGAAAATTATTGTAGTGAATTTAAATTTATACATTTATACAGTTGTATCAGAAATATATTGATGGCTACTAATTTTTCTTTTTTGAATCGATTTTCTTTCTTAAACGGAAAAAAAGAAATCAAAATTTTCTTGAGAAAAAAAATAAATACATTGTAGTTAATTGTTTAAATCCAGTTGCGTGTCCCATTGTCGAAAACAAAAGTACAAGAGTCTGAGATAGTCGAATCTCTTTTCATAATCTATATTAGCGATATTTATATTCGTCAATGATTATTTTCATTCGCTTTTTTGGATAAAGACCATATAGAAAGATGCTGTAGATATACTCTCAATATTTTGCTGATATCTTTCGTCATCTACATGAAGAGTCCAGAAAGAGGCATTTACTCTAGCCATATTGCCCAAAATATAGATTGCCGAATTTCGATGATCATAATTTCGGCGAAGAGATACTCAAGGGCGTCCCGACAGAAGAAAGCTCAAGAGAATGACCCATAGTCTGGACAAACTTTCGTTTTTATTGGCTCGTCGATTCCCAACAAATATTCAATCTCCATTCTCCAGTCCTAACGACCTTATGTATACTGACCTTCGAACTCTAGTGTCTTTAAATGTCTATTGAAAAAACCTATACATTATGATACGAGATAAGTGTGTCAAAGCTTGATTTTATCATAAATCATACTGTTTCAAATATATTAGAGACATTTTTGAGTAATTTGACTTCAGGTCAAGCAATGGTTTTTTGTTTGTCTATCATACTTAGATCGAAATTTTAGATAACGTGAGTTAAAAAAGAAATTGATTTTTTGATTGTAAATAATTCTTTATTTGATTGAAATAATGTCAAAAGATAAATTTTCTCACATGAATCTCAAAACATTTGGCGACCATAACCATTAGTCGTTCTTTATAATGTTTCTTCTTACAATTTGTAGAAATAATAAAATAGAGAATTTTTCATCAAGTGTTAGAAATCATACCTGACATCTATGAAGAATATTATAAGAAGTTACAATCTAACCAATCGATTTTAATTGAATTTAGACTAAAGTCTTTCATTCATTAATTTGTCTTCCTATAGATAGAATTGTGCAAAAGTAACATTGATCGAATTCATTTAAACATATACATGGAGGAAATATTTCCAAAATTATTTGATTGTCCTGATTATATTCAAGGAAAATATTGTCATGCACTATGTAATTATCGTCATCAAACAGAAGAAGAAAAACAAGCAAGTAAGTTTTTTATCGAATATTTTAAATGAAAGTTTATTCATAATTGATTTTCTAGTTGAAAAATATCGTGAATCACTTCGATTAAAATTAAATCCTAAGAAATCAAATCGTTTTGGTCCGGTAAGTAAATCAATCAATTATAACTTTAATTTCATTTTGATACGTTCAAATAGGTTTATATTATTGCTGGACCAGAACGATCTGGTATTATTCATGATTAGTTGTTTTTTTCTTTTGTTAAAATAATTTTGTTTTTATTTAAAGGAACTTCATGGTTATTTAATGCTGTTCGTTTACTTCTTGTACATCAAGATTCACCATTTGGTCCAGCAGATAGTTATCGTTTAAATCATATAACGAAGAATGATATTGAAACACGTTTAATAGAAGCATGTGGTCGTCCATTAGTTGTACGTACAATGCGTATACCTGATGCAAATTGGGCGGAAAATCTTGATCGTTCTGGACATGGTTATATGGTATTTGTTTCTCATCGAGATTTACGTGATGTTATTGATGATTGTTTAACTATCGGTAAAAGATTTAATTTTTTGAATAAAAATAGATCAAAACAATGAAAAAACAAGAAGATTTAATAATAATTTAGGTTGGATGAAACATGATATTGGAATTATACTTTCAAGACTTAAAGCATATATGACTGCATATGAATATTGGCGTCCAATTGCTAAAGGAGATTTTCGTTATGAAAGTACACAGAATGAACCAGTGGAACAAATAAAACATCTTGCTCGTTTGATGGGTATTGAAAGTACACATGCTGAACATATAGCAAGAGAAATTAATTCATTAAGACCTGGTCAAGCTATTGGACCTGATCAGGTGTATGTTAATATTTATTTTTTCTATAGATACATTTCATATTATTTTTATGATAATTTAGAACAAAAATGTGGCCCGCTCAACGTGTTATTGAAACATTACGTGCAAATGGTAATGATAAAGATGAAAATGAAATGGATGATAAAGCACATGAAGCACCAACAGTTGTTGTTGTACCTGAACAAGCAAAGTTATCGGAAAGTGAACGAAAAAAAATTCGTGATGCTCATAGCGATTATCATGATCGTTATGGTTATGTTTGAATCAAAACAATATAACAATAATAGAACATTCTTCTTTTTTTGCTACAGTCAGATATAAACATTATCAGAAAATTGAAACTGATTTCAACGAGTACTTTGGATATGTATATATATATAAAATATATTCATTTATTCTTTGTTCGCATTTATTCGTTTATTTAATGATACATTTTTTTTGTCTGCTGTATTTAGCTGTTAGATAGACACTTGTGTAGTATAATACACACGTCTTATTTTTAAAGAAACTGTTGACTGATAATTTAAGAAAAAGAATTATTTTTTTGTGATAGGTCTATGTTACAAATATGATTGGTCCTTAAATAGAATGAAAAATCGACGGACTAAAAATTTTTTGTAAATTTTTTACTAAAAAAATCTTGAATGTGTAGAAAAAGAAAACATTGTTTTCTCTATTACAGATTACTCAAATATCAATGATAAGCATTTTAAAGGGTATCGTACGACTTTGTTATCGAATGACTTGTATTAAATGATAAAATACAGTCAACAGTATTCAAAATATATTGATAAAACAACTTGGCGTGCGAAGTAAGAACTATGTATGTATGAAAATGTCCCAGTTTTGTGCATAACTCTAAAGTATGGATGAAAAAACTGGTAGTACTAGTTAAAAAATTCATTCATCAAGTGCTTATCATGAATAAATATAAATGATGTTGAGGTAAACAATGTTATACTATTTGAAAACTCATATACGAAGATATATATACATATAATATGTATACTAGTAAAAGTCTATTGAATTTTATAAAAGAAATCTTGTTCAAATGTCTATAATGATATGAAATATTTAAAAGAGTATATGCATGCATTGTAACATCCTGATAAATTGCGTTGGAGACATCTTTGTTTGAATAAATCTTCCACTGCTATCCTGACATACACGGCAATTCGTGTATATGTGAAATATTTTATAATAAGTTAATTTGGGTGTGATGTATGAAGATTTAGCATATCATTATTTATTATTTCTTGCACTCTTCTATTGCATTTCTGATGATCGAAGTATTTTAAAATATGTTATTAAATGTATGATTTTGATGAGTTTCTCTCTTCAATCTTAACTATTAATTAAATGTTGCTGATACATAAAAAAAATAGTCCGAAGTCAGTTGAAATATTCAATTTGAATCAGCTTAAATGATAAGATCCATTTGGAACTTTTATGTAAGTGTTTACAAAATAAAAACATTCGTCAAGATATATCTTTCTTATCTTTTGCTATCATTTTAGTCATCTGTCCATTATCATTTGTTATTTGCTTTTCTCACATATACTTATTTCTTCTGCTCACAACATATGGCTACAGTCAATTCCAACATGCCCAATGTTAACTACAGTAAATTTTACAAATATTTTTTTTGTTTTGTTTCTTTTTTTATTTCTTATTGTTTTCTGTTTTTTTTTCTTATTCTCTTCAGAGCAAATTAATGGTGATGAAGAATATGATGCGTGTGATATAAAACGACTTAATGAAATCGATGAATATACACGTAACTCTATACAACATGATAAAATATTTGATGAAGTGAAAAATTTTCATCATTTTCATGAAACAATAACATGGCGAAAATAAAATAATAACTATGGTAAATTTATTTTCCTACGAGAAAAGATTAATATTTATTTGTAAAAATGCATTGCTTATCATTTTAGATATGTCAAATGGCCAATTTCCATCATATTATTTTGATTGAAACGCCATATTTTATAAAAATCGTGATTTTAATAATTATCGAATATGTAAGTTTAATTCTAATATGTTTTGTTTGTCTTTAAAATCTTAATTTTTCTATTATATAATACATTATGTGATTCGAATTTTTAATTTAAGGAGAAGAAGATGAATTAACTGTTAAAACGTTTTATAACATATAATTTTGAAAAACGAATAGGAACTCATTCTGATCAACGAACTGTTATACTTTTTGATATCAATGAAGCAGATTTCAGACATTTAATTAGTTTTAGCATGTACTTAAATCATTATTATTATTATTATTGTTTATTGAACCTTTTTCTATGAAGGATTATGATCTTATTAGATTTGTTATCAATTGTTTGATATATTCTTACCCAAGATTACTTTGTATGTTGATTTTTCTTTATCATAATGAATGACGGTTTATATCTTTGTTTTAGCTCATATATTGACCTATAAACTTCCATTTTTTTTTTTTTTTTTACAAAGTAGAAAAAAAACTATTTTCACACGAGCGACAAGATGTTTTATATGTTGATTTTCTTCTGAGAGATTTGAAAATTAATTCAAACATGAATACCAACTGACACACAAAATACTGTTGAATTTGTTGATGAAAAAACTATTACACAATATACTTCACTTGATCAATTATCAAAAGCATATAGGTGATACTACAAGTGATGAATATTAATTATACAAAAAGCAAATCAGCATATGGAACATCATATAATTCTTTTTGAATATAATTCTAATATTTTTCTTTTCTCTTTCTATAGACATTTAATAGATAGCAATAAAAAAAAACTATAGGTAATTAATTCAGAGAAATATTTGTTTGTTAATGAGTAAATATGTTTTAAAATTCGTATAGAAGATTTATTGGTGGCATGGTTTAACTAATTCATCATTCTGTTGACAAAAGAAAGAATTTCCATATGAGTTTATCTAGAAAATATATATTCTATTATTCTTCGTTATATTATCCGATTGATTAAGGTGAAGATTACAACTTTGCTTTTAAATATGAATATAAAACAAATTCACATTCTTTGCTTCCCTAGATTTACATTTGTCTATACATATATATTAACTCGATACTTTTCATATCCTACCCTGTCCTTATTACTCATACTGGTCTACTACTCATCCTTTCTGCAAATAAGAGTTGAATATATATCAATTGTTATGTTATAAAGAAAAGAGCGCTTTACGTGATATAGTTAAATGTCATCATCTATTTTCCTTTCGAGGATTGAAAGGTAATTTATATTTATACGTAATATGATAATTTTTTTTTAAAGTTTGAATTTAACGTTTTATTAGTGTCTTGCTCAATGACATTATCGATAATAACCTTTCAAACTTTAACACTAATACACTTTAAATAAAACTTTGAAAGATATTTTCTTTCGAATGAAGATTTTTGAAAATTAGGTTTTTTGCAAGTATGAGAAATGTCTTTGAAATAATGATCGAATTTTTCAATTAGAATTTATTTGATTAAGTGATAAATATGATGATTGCAATGCTCGGCATTTTGATAGAAATTATCGATATGCCATTATATTCAATGATAAAGAAAATGAACTTCAATATTTTAATTACCAAAAATGAATTAAAATTGATGGTAATAATAATTCTAAGATTTGATAGTCCAATTTTTAAATTCATTAAAAATTGTTTTTGATGTTATGCAAATTTTATTCTTGTGATAGGAACATTTTATTCGAAATTATCAAACGATTTCTTACGTACATATAATTTCGAAGAACATCTATGATCTTATCTTTTTTTATTTCAATAGTGTGAAAAATCATGCACTTATGGCTATTAATTAAAGCTCAACCAACTATTAAATTTGTCGATAGCACTATTCATTCGACTAGATCGATTGCCGATAATGTGTATTCATATGAGTGAAGGAAACTGATTTGATAATCGAATTATATGTATATTCAGAAAAATAAAAAATAAGTTGATAATGTTCGTTTACCTAAACCTGTAGTACTTTTTTTTAGTCTATTTTCTCTTTATATATTTGAACGAAATGAGCAGAGTGAAAAATTGATTTTTATCATAATAGATTTACAGATAATATATTTACACGTATTATGATAGACATGTTAAAATTTTCTTCGATGTTATATTACGATAATCATGTACAGACTATTAGAATCATTAAAGTTTTGCATGCGAATGAATAGTTTTTTACATTCTTATGTGTAGAGAAATCTATACTAGACAAAAAAAAAAAAACTAAAATATCGATTTATTAACTCTATTGATTATACGAAATATAATGCTATTTAGTAGTTTTTAAATGATATTTGATATTTTGATTATCATCGTAGAATACTTTTATAAATTACAAAATACTGTTGAATATTTCTGTTGAAAGAACTAATCTATTTCATTTTTTTTTTTACAATATAGGAAATTAGAATAACAGCACTTAACATCTTGAATATAAGGAAAAAACTACAGTTGAATGTAAGTGTATGTTTTTTTTGTTTGCTATGTAAATATTTATTTTCTTATATGTGTTAGTTAGTGTTTAATTCTAATATAATATTAATGAGAAGAAAATTCTACATATGAAATGTCTAACGATCACAAATTATTCAACTTTAAATAAACATAGATGGCATTATTCTTAGTTTAAATCTTATCTTTACACAGGAATGGTGTGAATACATATGCATAAAAGAAATATTGCGTGCTTTTCTTTTTTCTTTTTATCTCAAAATTGTTTGTTTGTTTGTTTTATTCCTATATTTTTTATTATTGATTATATAAATATTAACTATCCATTTATTTTTATTTGAATAGAAATTATTTTAATTTACTCAAAAGTTTTGTTAAAATTTTCAAAAATATACAAATTATATTCACTTTCTGAGTCATGATAATAAAAAATTTAGGTCATACAGTTCGATGACTATACGATAGAAAAAAAAACCTTTTTTTTTTAAAGAAAATCAATACTAAAACTTTTTCAGCTAATTAGAGAAAATTTTCTGTTACTAGATTATTATTCATTATTTTTTCAGATACTATAAAAGAAAATTTAATAATTGAGAAGAATTAAAAAGATATTATAAATATATTGATTACCGTGTGTTATTGTTTTCGTGTTTGATTCATATTGGTTCGTTTTGCATCTGTTATCTCGTTTCAGTGTATCATATCTTATTTTTGTTCTTTGTTATATCACTTTGTCACATGGCGTCATCGATCCCAACATTTCTAACATTAATTTCTGTATAATTTTATCAAATTTTATTTTAATTGTAGTACTTTATTTTACTCTTCAAAGGTTAACAAATTTCGAGAAATTGTTAATACACACTTTGAAAGTATGATTTGATCGATTGCATATAATAAATTACTAAATATTTTCTATTTATTAGAAGAAATTAACGAAGATGAACGATATGATCCACGGGATATTCAACGTTTTAATGAAATCGATGAATATACATTAATGTTTATTCAACATGCACAATTTGGTCCAAATTTTAATGAAGATCTAGCATTTCGAGTTTTTAATGCATCAATGAGTTGGAGAAAAAAACATAATATTTATGGTATAATTGGAATTGAAATAGAACTAATACTTTTCTTCATAATTTTGTAAATATATACATATTTTTTCTTTTCTTATAGACGTTTCTACAAATGAATTTCCTGCCGATTATTTTGATCGAAATGGGATTTATTTTAAAAATCGTGACAAGAATAATAATTCAATACGTAAATAGGAAATCTATTTTTTTGTTTTATTCGATTTCAATTTTCTATTCTATACAGTTCATTTTGTCGTTCGAACATTTAATAAAGGTCAAGAAGATAATGAAGTTGTGAAACGTTTTATAATATATAATTTTGAAAGACATGTTCGACGTCATCCTGGTGAAAAAATTGTTATACTTTTTGATATGAGTGAAACTGGTCTCAGAAATCTAGTTCGTTTTCTTAAAATTTTATTTAATCGATCTAGCTTGTTTTTTTATTAGGATTTTGATTTAGTTAGATTTATTGTTGATTGTACGCAAATTAATTACCCAGGTTTATTAGGTATCTTATCAAACATGCATTGAATTTGTTTTTATAATGTCATTTCTTATAGCTTATATGATTAATTTTAAAATGCCATTCATTTTGCAAGGTAAATGCTTGTGTGTATGGAGAAAGAAAAAAAAAAGAGAAAGAAAAAAGAAATGATTGCATCTATTTATTTTTCTTTTCTTAGCTGCATGGAAAATAATTCGCTCGTGGTTGCCCGCTGAAGCAGAACAATTTATTAAATTCGTCGATGCTAAATCGATCACACAGTTTATACAACCCGATCAATTGTCAACAGCAATGGGCGGCACTGTAAGTGAACCGAATTGATCCAATTAAAAAATTCGGGACCATGTATAGAGAAAAAAAAACAAGGACAAAAAAAAAGAAGAAGCTCACTGCTCTTTTTTTTTGTTTATCTAATGGATGCACTGCAATTTGCCATAGTCACATAACTAGATATATGTTTTTCCGCTGACTTTTTCGACAATTTTATTGTCTCCATTTCCGTTTTTTGTTTCTTTCGAAATAACACGAGAAAGAAAAACGAAAAATAACAAAATGTTCACTATTATTATGGATGTATACGTATATATATATATAAATGTATATACAAACATACGCGTGGATATACCCACATCATGGGCATTAGTAGATAGACAGATGATAGAAAAACATTGTAGTTATTTCATTCTTGTGTTCCATCCTACTGTTACCGTTATTTCCTATTTTTTTCCTTCTATTTTTATCCGATCTCGCTATATGCGTCATCGTTTTTTTTCATCTTTCTCGTTTCTCGTCCTGCTGCTTTCATCAGAATCGAGCGGATAGACAAAAAAAAGAAGTCGGGTGAAGCTTGCTACTCTCTTGAGGGTGAGTATGAACGACACAACGACAAGTCTACCAGTAATAACATCAACAACTGCATCGAAGACGATGAAAAAAATGAGAATAAAAAAGAAATGTCGACTATGCCAATAATAACAATAACAACAACAACGACGACAAAAGTTTTTCAGATTATTTAATAAGTCATAACGATGTTCTCTAGTGTCTTATCTATCTAACCATGTCACACAAAGCTCTCAATCTGAATGATGTATGTGAATAGAGAACGGGAGACATTCGATCAAATCGATAAAAAGAATTTATCTTTCTATTTATCTATTTTACTTTTCTTCTTCTCTCGTTTGTATGTATTTAGATCATGAATATTTGAACGATGACTTCATTTAAATAAGCGAAAAAAAACCGATAGATTGATTATATACATATTTATAAAGTGTTTGTTTAGTAGATAATAAACAATAAGACGAAAAGATACATTTTAAATTGATCAATTTTTTAATAATAGTAAATTTTTACTTTTATTTTAGGATACAACAAATTATGTTCATATTCATGATCCAATAAACGACGCCATTGAAGATTCAATGAATGCAAGTTTAAAGAAAAAAGTAATTTTATTTTTTTAATTGAAGAAAAGTTTTTTTTTGATTAGTTTCAATTCTATTGTTAGGTTACTTTTGCTGATAGCGGTTCACTTGATTTATCCCTTTCATCAACACCAACAGAATCAATAATGACCACTGATAATCTACCAAAGATGGATTTACCACTACATGATGAACCACTAACACCAGAAGAATCTAATCATTCCACGTCTACATCTGAGTCATGTCACATAGTCACTAGAAAAGTAAATTTTTCATAACAAAAGATAAATCAATTTATATTGTATTTATTCTAGTCAATATTACAAAAACCAATTTTAGTCAATGGATGTATGGGTGAAGAAAAAGTTTATCATGGACTTGGAATAAGGTTTGAATATATGAACTAAAATAAAAATAAAAATAATTTTCTCTTAGACCACATGATGAAATGATCTTTGAACGAACAGATTCTTCATCACATGGAACAACTGATTGTATTCAAACACTACAATTAACAAATGTAGGTGATAAAATCTTAACATTTAAAATTAAAACAACATCACCTGACAAATTTCGTGTTAAACCTGGCTGTAGTCTTCTACATCCAGGTGCAACAGCTACTATTTCTGTTTATTTATTAAAAGGTTAGGTTTTTTTTCATTTACTAATAAAATTTATTGAAATTCTGAGTTGTCTTTTTGTTTTATTTATAAAGCTTATTGTACACCAACAAGTAATATTAATAAAGAAAAATTTTTAATTATATGGACATTAATTGGCCATGAATTAAAACAAGCACAACTAATTGAATTTTGGAAAAATGTACCTAATTCGGTGCTTTATGAACATAGGTATTATTATTTGTTTACATATCATAAAATTTAATAATAATAACTAATTGTTTAGATTGAAATGTTCATTGAGTAATAAATTAACATCTGTCACGTCTATTGAAACAAATTCTTTACGTTCATCTATTTCGTCTGATCCGTCAATTGCTGAAATGCAAAATATAGTAAATAAATTTGTTTAAAATTAATCTATTTGAATATTTCTTTTTTTTTATTTTAGTTAAAAGATTCTATTGCATTACAAAAAACTACTATAGCAGAAACTTCAAGAGAACTTAAACAAATTCGATATCTTCTATTAATAGTTTTTGCACTTTTATTCGTTATTTTATTATTGGATGTGCATAAATATTTTTTTTCTGTTTCATCGTCATCATCTGTAAAAAGTGATTTGTGAGAACTCATACTTCTTTGTTTTTTATTTTTAATTTGTACTAGATTGTATACCAATGGTGCTAATCATAGAAACAACAGAAAAAAAAACAACATATAAATCATGACCCTAAAAAAAAACAGATGAATGACATAAACGTTAATTTAATAAAGTATATATGCTATTTTTTAAGATTATCTAATATAAAAAAAATAAGTCAATGTATGTTTTTTTTTAAATTTAATCTAAGATTTTGAATTATAGTGAAAGCAATTTTCTATGATATATAGGATAAGAAAAGAGTAACAAATACGAGATAAAAAGATTATATGATTGGCTAATAATTTTTTTCACATGATATTTAATTAAAAAAAAAACAAGAGCAAACGGTAGTAATGTTGTATTAACGAGGGAAATCCTCAAGCTGATAAATCACTTTCGAGTCGAGGCTATGTGTATTGTATAGACCCAAACGAGTTATGAATACTTTGAAAAGAGTTCGTGCCCCTAGCTTATTATTACGGAAATACTACACTTTGATAGTATTTTTTAATTGAATGTTGTGTTCTCCCAAAGGAACACCAGAAAAACTAATTTTTGATTTTCGATTTGAAACTTTGCATAGGGACCAGCCTCGACAAGATTAGCTTTTTGGTGAATGGTTGAAATCTCTTCGCTGTTCTTATCCTGAGATACACATATGGTAATAGCGTGTCTTTTACATTGCTCGTATAAACTGGCAAAATTTTTATGTTCATATTTCAAGATGGGATTAAGTCAAAAGACTTATCACGTTTGCAATAAACTACTCTTATTAACATCTGTTTCTATGAAAAGTTTCAAGTTGAATTCAGAAAACAGTTTTTCTTCATGTCGTAGCAATAAACTACGAGTACGAACTCTTTTTAGGGTATTCATAGGTCATGTAGGTCTACATAATGCATACAGCCTCGATGGAAAAGCAATTTATTAGTTGGGAAGCTTCTCTCGTAAGCAAAACAAAATCAATGTTAAATGCAAATGATATAAAAAACTCCACTAAATGATTTTTGTATTACCAAACAATGATGTCGTTTGTTAGATGTCAGACGTCAAAATAAAAATTTAGTTGACATGTAGATCTATAAAGTTTAGTATAGATTTGATTTCATCCAACAATTTGAATTTCTATATTAATAATCTACATAATTGTATTCATAATAATGATCACAAGCATTTTATTAAAGGACAATATGATATGTAATAAATAATTATTAGTTTTTATGACAATGTTAATGAATAATAATGTCAATATGATGAATGAAACATAATAGTAGTGTTGAAAAAGATCGGAAATATCTTTGAAGACAAAAAACAAGACGAGTCATTTTGTTCATAATAATCTATAAATATTGAACAACTATCAATCTATTGATAGTTCAGCCGTATAAATTTTGACAATTTCTCGTCAAACTTTAGATCATTATACAGAGTATTGCAATAGATTAAATCATGTAGCTATTTTAGTATAACATAGTATAAATGATTATTTTTGGTTTATATCATTCAGCATCATTGAAGATTATTAGGCTATCTAATAGTCTCACAGGAATAATTATAATTTCATATGATTGTTAGAGACAAGACAAAGAGTTATTTGTAAAGAATATTTAATGTAATATTAGTATTCAGAAATAATATTTGAATTGCATGAAATGCTACAACACTTTTTATTCGACTATAGTTCAAACTTACTACATTCGTCAGTCTTAATGAGAAATTATGGTGAAGAATCTGATATATTCGCATAATTAAAATAAACTGTAGAACTAATTTTTTTTCTATTTATTCTTCATACTATCATAGTTTAAACACATATTTGTACCATCAATTTTCTCTTTATCAATCACTCGACTCGACTCCAAAATAAGGATTTTTATTTCATGTACTTAAGTGTAATTGAAATTGAAAATTCTTGTTGTGACTGTCTCTCTCTACTATTATTACTTGCAATTAAATTCACAGATAATAATTTATTGCTTTTTAGCAACAGTTTGCAGAAAGCAAAACAACTATTTCGGTTTGACTTCTTCTTTGGCATAGTTAGGCACGCAGTAAACTATGAGTCGATTATCGGAAATCTCGACGTAGTTCAGCAATAATCTTTAAAATTCTTTTCGAATAGATGAATATCATTGAATGAAGATCATAGTAACATTTCTATAAACAAAGCAAATTTTTTTTTAATTTATTCTATTATATTTTCTCACAAGCATAACTTGAAAAATCGATTCTTATTCAAGTAACTTGTTCATAATTAGAATTTCAGGACAATACAGGCACCGAAACAAACGTTGCCATCTGAAATCTATTTTGAAAAGAACCTAAACTATTATTCAAGAAGTCAGCTAAAGATAATAATGATAGGGGTACAGAGATAAAGTTCGATTTTTATTATAAATTAGTACGTGAAACAAACTTTTTTTCTTACCAATAAAAATAGTACAGTGACCTAAATAATAAGAAGTATATTCGCTATATAAATATCATATCAAACAATGATATTGTGAAGAAAAAACCAAAATTATTACAATTCCAAATACAAATCACTGAAATTCTAATCATTATATAGAAAAAAATCATCTGAATTAATTTGACTCAATCAAATAGTATTCCATCCATTGTAAAATTTCATCCTTGTCGTGTGTAGTTGATCTTCATTGACTTTTATTTTAATTCGAAGAGACACATAAGTCTCTATCTATTGACTAAGAATATTGCATTTACATACATTATGTCAATTCTAGTACGATTGATGAACTTCAGATGATGTATTGCTTAGATTTATTGACTGTATTAGTCATTACTTATTCGAAAAAAAAAAGTTTGAACAATGAAAAAATTTACTTAAAACCGACGTGATTTAAGAATTCTATATTACACATTTATTCACATTATTGCCGTCACTTATGAATATCTTAGTCTTGCTTTTAAGCAGAACTTGCAATATTATTTAGAAGTGCAAGAAACTAAAAATGTACACTGATAGTTACTGAATAATAGTTTGAAATTTTCGCAAACAAAGCATAAAAAGTGGGAGGAATTAACCCACCCTATCTCTTCATCAATTGAGGCGTGTACCTTGAAAGTTGTATGTCATACTCAATAGTCAAGCAGTACTTTTTGTTCCAACGAAGCCACATAGGAATACATTCAGAGATTATTTGCAAAAGAATATCAAAAAGTATGAATGACCTGTCAATCGTATTAATAGACTTTTCTTGTGTTTTTTCTCATGTGACTATACCATCAATGACAAAATGATTACGAATCATATTTTTTAAGAGGTATTTCCATTAATAGTCAACTGAAAAAAGATTCAAGATTCTAAATAAAGTTTTTCGTCTGTAGAACTCATTGCACACTACTGCTCAATAGCTGTGAGGAATAACCGAAATTTTTGAGTATTTATTTTATCAAAATGATTAGTACAACGAGTTCTAAAGACGAAAAAATTTTCTGAGAACCTTATAGCTTTCTCGACTCATTATTGATAGAAAAATATGATTCGTAAGCATTTTGTCATTAGGAGATAAATACATATACAAAGACAAAAGTTAATACCATTGAGTTCTTCATATGAAATTTTTACATTAAAATGACATCAAACGACTATTATATCAATAGCATAAAAATTAACATATAAATTAGAATTGTCATTGCAAGTTTTTTTCCAAAAACAAAAAAAAACAAAAAAAAAAAGAAAAACGAACAACAATATAACTACAAATACGTTACAGCGTAAAGAACACTTACATAATATATTTTCTCTCTTTATATGTTTATATTTATATATATATAAGTTTTCTCTTTTGTTATGTAAAAAAAAACATGAAACCAAAAGTATAGACTAGATAAGAAACAAAAGCAAAGAGAAAATGAAAGATGTGAAGATTAAGAGCGGCTGTTTTCGAAAAAACAAATATCTGACACAGGTAAAAATATAATAATAATAATTAATGACAAAAAGAAAAAAAAAATACGTTTCTATTAATTTTTTGTTTAACTGACAACTACTGAGCGACATGTTCCTTTTGTAGATGATCTTGTTATTATAGATTTACAAGATATATCATCATCATCATTCGATTGTTTATGATCTTCATTGGTCATAAATTTCGATTTTATAGATAGTTTAGAACTTATTAATGTACCATTTGATTTTGTTAATAATGTATCATCTGTATGACTATATTGATGATTAATAAGATGCATTGAAAACATAAAATATACATCACATTGTCGACATGGATGTAAACGAGCTTTTGAACCATGTTGTACCATATGATGATAAAGTTGTGATGCATCGTCAAATGTTGATTGTTCACAAAGACTACATTGATAATCATGATTTGGATATTGATGTTCAATAAGATGTATATGCATTTTAATAGCTGTATCAAAATTTGTTCGACATAAATAACAATGATGTACACTTGGAGATGGAGATGAACTATGTGAATTTATTATAGATGAATCAATACTATCAATAAGAAAACCACTTGTTAATGAGGATTTTTTAATTTGATGTTGAAATATATGTTCACGTAATGATACAATTTTATTACATTTGAGACTTTAAGAAAAGAAAAATATGAAAGAAAAAAAAAACTAGAATTTAAGATAATTAATTGTTTACCAATGATATTCTTCGATAGTATGTTTTGGTAAATGAACCGATGTAAAATGTTGTTGATAAGTTTTAATACTATCAAATTGTACATCATTTTGGCATTTTGGACAACAAAGTGAAGTTGATATACTGTCGATTTCTGGTACCATATGTGTATCTATAAAGAAAAAATATTATAATAATAGAATCATTATGATAAACTTTTTTCTATAAATGATCTATTCATCATCAACAATTTTGTGTTATCTTTTTTGTTTTTCAATATCTTATATTCATTATATAAAACAATAAGACTAGGATAACTTTTTCTATCGTGTTCTATGTTCAGTTCTAAAAAATTGGAATAACTTCT